GTGTTGAAGTCCTCAGCTGGTGACTCTAATCACTCAGAAGTGACTGGATCGTGAAGGCTGTGACCTAATTGATGAATCAATCCATTGATGAATTCATAATAGTTTCATGACATTATTGGGGGTCATGTTCTTGGGGCCATATCTTGTCCAAGGTCCCTTCCTCAGCCTCTCTGCTTCCTGGCTGCCAACAAGGCAAGCAGCTTTGCTGCACCATACATTCTTGTCCCCTGATGTTCTGCCTCACTGCAGCCCACAGCAATGAGCAAGCTATGGATGGACTGAAACCCCGAAACCATGAACCAAAACAAATCTTCCCTCCATTTAAGCTGTTCTCTCAGCTATTTATTATAGTGATGAAAAGCTAATTCAAGCAGGGCCCCTGAAGGAGGCCTTTCCTGGTTTTCTTCATTCTCCTCAGCAGTACTTCTGTCTCAGCTCTGAACCAGCACTGTGGTTTCCTCAATAGAACCCAGACAGGCCAGAGCCCACTGTGCTTGGCTGGAGCCTCAACGTCTTGGGGAGCTGTGGCATACCTCTCCCTGCTCCATTACTTCTGAAACCAGACTGGGTACTGTATGAAAGCATGAAGAAAGAGTCCCACCCCCACCCCCCTGTGTAACTCTAGGAGTTATATATCCCTTTGAAGAATCTCCTGCTTCCTCACACGGAGTATGTGACCGCCTCTGAGGAGAGCTGTGGGCTCCAAGAGTAGTGTGCTAACTTCTGTGATTCGATGGCGTCCAGCTAGTTCCAAGCCCTGGTTTCATATTCCTCATCCTGAGGATCTCTGGGCCTGACATATGGTAAAGGAGCTACCCTCTGAGGCCTGTCTTCCTTTCAGGACTCAGAAGTGCTGTCAAGTTGACAGTCTTTATTTTAGAGGCTGTTAGATGGATTCCTAGACAAACTATATAACTTGTGATACAGCATATAGGGTGCTGGGATATGGGTTAGGTGTAGGATTATTACTGTTATACATGGACACTGAGGCAGGCCTGCCTGTCCATCAGAAACTGAATCCTGGAGAAGTGTCACTGGATTCCTTTCTAACGAGGATCCCAATGTCAGCTGGCTGGCAAGAATATGGCCATTTCCTTTCCTCAGATAATGATTCAACAATCTAAGTCTGTTCCTTTCTGGCTGCTGGACTTTCCTGGAGAGACGGTTACTCTCAAGTTTTGTTTCCAATTAAGAAAATGGAGCTGGCAGCTCTCTAACACCATCACCACCATCATCCCACCATCAGGCAATTAGAAAAGGTCTTTCTGGGTGGCAGGTACTAGGTTGAGCCTTTATGCACCTCCTTCCATTTAATTCTCCTGGCAGTCCTCTGACACAGGCATCATTCACCCAGTCTTGCAGATGATGAGACTGGAGCTCTAAGAACTTAAGGACTTTTTCCAAGGTCATACAGCCAGAAAGCTGCAATGGTCTTTCAGTCTAGGTCCGTCTAATTTCAACGTTGTGCTGGTTTCACTGTGACATGATACCACTATAAAACCCACCATTCACCAAACACCTATTAGGGACCAGGCCCAGGGGTAGATGCTTTATTTTAATATTTTCTATAGCTGCTATGAAAGAGTTACTATTTTTGCCAGTTCATGAAGGTGCCTGTACACAAGTTCAGTCATTTCCCCAAGGTCCCACATGGCTAGTGGTAAAAAAGCCAGGAAGGAAGCTCTGGGCCCTTCCTCTGACACACACTCTCACATGAGGGGAAAGAAAGCAACAACACAAACTTGGTACTGAGTTCACTTCATCCAAATGGTGCAAAGAAGCATCATACTTCTAGACCAGATTGAGACTATCAAGTCAGCAGTCTGCTGCCTCGTGTTTCTGACAACTTCTTTTACAGAGGAATGTTTGGGGATCCATGGTGATCGATGGCTGTTTCTTCTGAATCTAGGTCAGTAAGTAGCAGGGGTGTAATTTTTCAGGAAAATGCCAGGATACAAGGAATTTTATACTAACATTTTGGAACCTTCCATTATTTATCCATCTGTAGAACCAGTACCATATTCTAGGCCTTGCCTGGAGTGTCACAGGTTTGAGAGATGAATAGTCTCTGCCTTCAAAGTATACGTAATTTAACTGAAGGCAACAGATGTATAAACAAGGACATAGGAGCTGTCTTCTGCTGCTGTAATTCACCTCCAATGTGATGTTTGGCAGGTGATTTAACCCACCGGACCTTGACTCCTCAGTATAAAATTAAGTAAAATATAATGTGTCCATCTAGCCCCCTTCCCTTTCTCCCACTTTTATTCCCTTCTTCCCCTTTCTCTCTTCGTTCGTCTCTTCGTTCTTCAAGACAACTTATATGCAAATGTTCCTTGAGCAACTACTGAATGCTACAGTGAGTGAGATGCAGGACTTCCCTGGAGAACTCGGGCCAGAGGGGTCAGCAGATACTGGAGTGACTCACTTTATTTAATCACTTGTCCAGAGCCATGCCTACAGGGGTGGCAGAGCCAGGAGCTGAAGTGCAGCTTGGCTCTGGGGCCTAGATGCTCTCTACTGCAGACTCCATTTCCCCAGCCCACGCTTCTCAATTCCATGCCTGCCTTCTGTACTGAAGAAGTAGTGCTGAGTGCCCAGTGCAGGTCCCACAGGGACTCATGGTGCTTAAGCAGCAGGCTCAGTGAGTAACCAGGAGGACTCTCAGGGGGCATGTCCCCTGTTGGCATGGAACAGGCTGGCATGGATAGGGTGCTCCCTAAACAGAACAGCTACAGGCAGCTGATAAGCCATAGCCCTCATCAGATGCCATATGGGTCGGTCATGAAAGGCTGAGCAAGTTAACATTTTCCTTAGTAGGAATATTATTTATATCTTCTGTTGATTAAAAGAACTCAAGCCGGGGGAGGGCCCACAAGCATACATACAAAATCACATAATTGAATAAGATAGTAGGATGTTTCTTACCCAGAAATAAAAGCAGCATTTCTGGCCAAGACAAATGAGCAGGTTTTCCTTACTCTTTCTCCTCCTGGCTCCATCATGAGTCTGGCCTCACACATGAGGGAAAACCACTTTACCCCTTTTGGGGTAGTTTGAAGGGTATGTTCTCTAAAGTACCCACTTTCTGTGTGTGGTGGGTGGAAGTGGTGTATGCATATGTACGTGTTCACGTGTGTGTGCTTGCACGCATGTATGTGCTTGTGGAGGTCAGAGGTTAACATCGGGTGTCTTCCTCTATAGTTTTCCACCTTGTTTTTTGGGACAGAGTCTCTCACCAAACCTGGAGTTTGCCATTTTGGCTAGACTGGCTGGCTGTCAGGCTCTGAGGCTCCTCCTGTCTCTGTCCCCTCAGCACTAGTTACAGTTGTGTGATGCTGCATCCAACATTTTACTTTGGTCCTGGGATCCGAAGTCAGATCCTTATGCTTGTGCAGTAGACACTTTATCAACTGAGCCATCTTCTTAGCTCTAGTAGCCACACCTCTAAAGAAGTGACCTTTTGAATGCTACCACACACCTATGTCACACCAGTCTCGCTGGGCTGGGGCTGCGGAAAGACCGTGGGCTTTGAGGTCTGCTGTGAAGCTGCATCCAGGCTCCATCGTGTACAGGAGTAAGACCTTCTTGGTGGTCACACTTACACTGATTCCATAGGCGCCACCTCATGGGTGCAGTGGAGGAAGCTCTCAAGGCTCCTTCTTTGGTCTCCACCCCCTGCCCCACATATACACCTGTCCCGAGAGCCAGCACAATGAGCTCACGGGTTCACCTACTGCCTGTTGTGGAAGTCTTCCCAAATCAAGGGCTTTGGAATCTAACCTCTGTGTAAGCTCCAGAATGACTTAGAATGGGTAACAAACCCAACGCTCAGAAGACAATGGCCAAAGCAAGGGTGACAGACACTTGCTTTCGGGTGTCTTTGTACTGTGTTCCTTCCTCACTCTTCTCCTCCTCCCACCTGGGTCCCGCTCTCAGTTCCTCATCCTGGTGACAGCACCACAATCCACTTGGGCATCCACACAGACGACCCCTCTTTCCATCCTTATACCCACCTATGACCAAACCCTGCTGATTCCTTCTTCCCTACACTCTCATCACCCTTTGTCAAAAAGTCCTGAACACGTGGTTGGTGATTGCTGGATTCATTGTGCTGATTCACAGAGAAAGTTCTGAACATATGCAGCATCACTGTATTAGAAGACATTCCAAAGAAATTACTATAAATTTTTCTTTTTGGATGCCATATCTTGGTTCCCTGCCCCAACTTGGGAAGTAGAGAACACAGTGCCATCTTTTGCTGCCACCTGTGCCCTGATGTGCCCCAGGTTCTGTGAGTGACTTCTTTCCTTTCCCTGGAGTCCTTCCTCTCTCACTTGCCTGGTTAACCGTCTTTCATCTTTAAGATTTAGCTTTCCTACCCAAGTCCTGGCTTCTCCTTCCCAGGAGTACCTCCTCTATGCTCCTTAGTACCCATGGCACATATTTTTGGTCAAGCCTATTGTAATTATCCTCACTTTATTCCCCAGAGGACTGCGAGAGAGTGTGGGCAGGCAGAGAGTATGTACCACTCATCTCTGCCATCCTAGTACTGGTACAAAGTAGATCTCAGTAATAAATTGTTCAATAGATGGTGCAACTGGTCAAAGAAGGAATGCATGGGCATGGGACCTGGGGTGCAGCCTCCAGACTAGTAAAGCTCTCCATCAGCTCTGAGGGTAAGCAGTGTCAAAGCCTTTCAGCTCATGTGGAGACCACAGGATCAGGAAGAGCTGACTGCAAAGTGGGTATTGATTCAAGATTCCCCTCAGACCTTTGATTTTTCACTCTCTTCATCTATCACCCAGTGCAAGCAGCACAGCTTTGCTCCTAACAGTTCAGAAGACCTTGGACAGCAGTTTTGTCAGTGTGGTAGCTGAGGCTATTTCTTTGCCTCTCCCAACATCCTATCAGAACCTTCAAGTTCCACCCTCCCAAACTCAGAGATGACTCAGGCTCCCTCCAAGAGCTGTTGCTGGAGCTGGGCCCCATGGACTCACCCGCCATCAAAGGGGTTCTCTCCAGGGATGATATGCGTGCTGTCCCTGCCCACAAGGAACTTGATGCGGTCATAGAAGGAGTGCAGGCTCTGTTGGGGGGCAGGGATTTGTGTCTCCTGGATGATGTTCAGAGGGTCGGGGGAGCCTAGGCACAGCAGGTTGACATGACAGAGGGGCTGGAGGCAGCAGTCAGGGTCCATGCAGTCCATCAGTCCATCTGCAGGGGAAATAGAGCATGTAGTTTATACAACTATTTCAACCAGTCATGTTTGCCCTTTTTTCCCTTACAGGCAAAGTTGAAGTGCAGACATAAGCCAAGGTCTTTGCTGAGCATCAAGAAGAAGCAGGTACCTACCCCATCACTCTAATTGGCAACACAGAAGCATATAGTGTATATACTATTTTTGCATTTTTTAGAGAGCGGGAAGAAGGGTAGTGGAGTGATAATGCATGAACATCGGATACTAAACTCAGGTGCTAGTGCTTAGGAAGTAAGGGGAGCAGCCCAGGGTGAGGCTGCTAGGTTGGTGGGGCAGCCTTGCAGGGAGCTGGAATCTTACCCTGGGGCAATGGGTATCCCTTAAGGGTTTGAACTAGGAGGTGACTTCATTTGATATGCTGCTGAACAGAAGAGAAGCTGGGGTCAGATAGGAGGTGCTGAGAGAGCTGAGGTTTCATGGGTGAAAAATAAAGGCAGCTTCGGTTAGAGCAGCAAGTCTAGTGAAGAAAGAGAAGTAGATGGTTTTGAGAGATACTTAGGGGGTGAACCCTAAAGCCTGATGATTCTAGGGTGGCTCTGAGGTAAGGAAGAGGTAGTGGTGGTGAGGGCTCTATAACTCCATCATCTCCCTCAGTGGTGGGATCATGTGGCCTGAAGCTCAGTCCTGAGCCCTTTGGAGGCCAAGCTCTGTCTTCTGTAAGTTGCCATTTGCAGGGATTTCTCTGTATTACACGGGTGGATTTCTTCAAGATTGAAAAGGATTATAGCACTATTATCTTTCCAAAGTACAAAGAAAGAGATTCTCCTAGATTACAGATTTTTGACCACACTATTGCAAGGGACTTTTATAGTTCTTGAATGACTTAGAATGGGTAACAAACCCAGTGCTCAGACGACAGTGGCCAAAGCAAGGGCCAGGGTGACATCTGTGTGTTTTAGAGGCAGAGATGACATATGTTCTGCCTGGATCCAAATAGTGGCTCAATTGCTTATTAGCTGTGTGATTTTATTTTTATTTAAAAAATATTTTATTTATTATTTTTATTTTATGTATATGAGTGCATTACTTGCATGTATTTAAGTGTGCCTGTGTTGTGCAATGCCCATGGAGGTCAGGAGAGGGCATTGGATCCCCTGGAACTGGAGTTATAGATGGTTGTTAGGGGCCTGGGGATTGAACTAGGGTTGTTTGGGTTGACAGCAAGTGCCTTTACCCACTGAGCCATCTCTTATGGAGATGATAAGAGTGTCATTCATGTAAGTTTTTATTCCACAATACAATGTGTAGTACTGTTTGCCCAAATCCAACACAGTATCTGACATATAACAAGTACTTAATAAAATAGTAATTTCCCTTTTTGGTCCTGAACCTAAAACATGGTTCACTAAAATGTGGGGCCATTTACATTTACGTTTACCCTGCCTCCCTCACCCCAACATTACTCTGAGTGGTACTTTAGCTCCTGTCCCGGCTTCCAGGTAGTGCTGCCTAGCAAAACACTCATCCTCTCCTGCCGTCAGCAGGCTCCATCATACTTTCCTGCTGCCCCTGTCAGACGTTGCTTAAACACATAATTACAGCCCAAGCAGAGGGTTATTTGCATTCTGCTATTGATGTTAGCATGACAGATTCAGCTGCCGCATCCATAACTCTGCAGAAACGCTCCATTATTCAATCCCAGCGAGCAGGGACGTTGACCATTAAATCAGCTAGCACAATTGAAGGGCCGTGAAAAGTCATGGCTAATTTGAAATTTTATTAGCTCTTGCCTGCTCTTGTTTACCACCAAAGTAGTCCCTGGAAGCCAGTCTTTTACCTCTTTATAAACACTCTGCTTTGTGGCACCTGGGAGGGATTGCTTCCTGTTGAGGGGGGATGGCTGCTCTCAGCCCTGGCATGGGTGGTTCTCACTGACAACTATATCATGCTGATGAAGATAATAAAAGAAAATGATAAGGAGTATGGCCTTGAATCCTACCCACCCTATGAGGTGAGTACTTTCATCACTATCATTTCAAAGAGAAGGAACTATAGGTTTAAAGTGGTAAGTTGACTTAGTGAAGGTCACAGAGGTAGTCAGTAATGAAGCTGAGACAGGATTTGAACTCAGTTCTTTCTGAGGTATAGACTATTCTTTGACCTACCCTGGAGAGACTCTCAAAGTGGAGAACAGGGACATAGGAATCATATCAAAACTCTGAGTTATATAAGCTTGTACAAATTGCTTAATTTCTCTAAATCTGTTTCTTCAGTCACATATAATGACAAGGAAAGACAGTCCATTCCTTAGACTCATGACTTTGACCCTGTTGCCAGATACGAGGTTCAAAGCTTCCATTGGACATCTTGTGACAATGAGACAGATTTTCCAGAAAACTTATAGACTAACAATCTCTCTCCAAGCCTGGGACCTAGCACGCACTCTCCCTAGTGAACAGTACATCATACCAGAGGCCTTTTATTTAGGAGTATGTCTTGCATGAGTTCTGGAAAGTTCTCCTATAAGCTCTTGGAATGTTCCTTTGTCTTTATTTAGCCCTTTTAGCCTTTTCTTCAGGAATACTAATAAAAGTTTAAAGGGACCTTCTTCTATTTCATGCCTTTTAACCTCTTTCTTCATTTCCATCTTTTTATTTGTGTCCCATTCTGATTTATTTCCTCAGATCTTTATTCTGCTTCACTTATTTTCCCTTCATTTGTGTCTGGTCTGCTGTTTTATTTGTCCTTTGGGTCATTAATTTAAATTACCATACTTTAAGATTTGTAGATGGTCTCTTTGAAACTTTGCAAAATCTGCTGGTTTCTTTCCAGATAGTATCTCGTTCCATCCTTATGGTTTTATATATCAGTTTATCTCTTTAGTCATATAAAAGCTTATTTATGATATAGTCTCAGATTAAATTCTTGGGAGTGGCAACTCCTTGTATGCTATAGCTGCTAACTCCGGCCTATGGCCAACCATTTCCTGCATGTTCTGTAATTCTCACTGGGGATCTCAGGTGACTGACTAACTCTCCAAAATGATGTCTGGCTACCTGCCACCCCAGGGCATCACTAGTCCAGGACTACTTTTTAGGCAGATTTCTTAGCTGGGCATTACTACTCTAATATGTAAGATGAGGTTTCAGGAACTTTATAGTGCAAGCTCCATCTCTTATAGCAGACACCTCTTTCCACACCCTAATGCCAGGACAGAGAAGTGCCTCCATGTCACCCCTCTATTCTGTCAGGCACACGTTTTTAGTCCTGGCCTCCGAGGGTCCCAGTTTTCTATGTGGTGTCAACCGCAATGCCCTACTGTAAACATGCCCCGTCCCTGTGAGTGTGTCACAGCTTCTGCACCTGCTGCCCTGGTTTTCAGTTTCATCTCTCCTCTGGGATCCAAGGCTCCCCTGTCCCCCCTTTCTTCTTTGCTGAGTTTTAAAAATAGTTATATCGTGTAGTCAGTAGGGTGTCGTGATGACCTAGTTGGGCATTTTGCTGGAAATAAATGTCCCAGCCAAAGCTCTGAGCTTTTGTTCTCCCATCTGTTAAATGAATCATCATGAAGCCTTCTTCACAGAGGATATGAGATCAAGGAGGGAGCAAGGAGAAGTTCCTAAGTAAGGGCCAAGCAAAAGGCAGTTACTAGAGGCATCTGACCAGGTGCCTCCCTTGAGCTTGTAGCTGGGTATCTGGCAACCAGCTGTCATCCAGCCAGCCCTGGCCCCTGCCTCTGCACAGGTAGCCTTCTGGGTGCAGCTGGACCTCAAAGGACTGAATTGGTTAAAGTCACAGACACAATGACACATGTAAGTTAGGGTAGTGCAGTCTCAGGGGCATTGCAAATTGGTGTCACAAAAAAACATGCTCTTTTCCCCCCCTAGAAACCCTGGAACTATGGAATTTCTCACTGTGTGTTTGGTGAGTTAGAGTGATTAATGCCAGATCAGGAATTCTGTCTGTCTACACCTTGTCATGCTGATGCTTCCTAATTTAAGGAGTATTTGCTGAGCAATAGATGTAGGCAAAACTTCCACCATTAGACAATCAAATTTAAGTGAGGTATCTATTTTGAAATGAAGTGGGGTCCATAAAAATTCACTCTGAAGACCAGCTCTTGTGAAAAATCCTCTTTATGTTTTCAAAAGTAGCATATAGCAGCCAACAACAGTATGTATGGCTACTCCACAGTGAGGGAGAGTCCTTGACAATTCAGTTTTCTTATGCACAGATGATACATTTTAGAGGTCTTGCTTTGGGACAGAAAAGTAAATTCTGGGTCAAAAACATATCAATCTATAATAGGGGGTTCTCTTTTGGAAACTTTTACATCTTTAAGTACCTCATAACTCATTTAATTGTACATCTCAAATAATATGGTAGACTTATAAACTGTCCATATTTCTTATATCTGCTACATTAGAGAATCTCATTTATCACAGGAGAAGAAATCAAGAAAATAGGGAGAATTACCCTCAACTTCTCACAGATTTTCAGTAAAAGTCTTCTGAAATTAAGACACCAACTTTGGAGAAAGAACATGTTTTCCCTCTAGAAATTTCCTTTTTCTTTCAGGTTCTGGTGATAGGAGAAACAGATGAAAATGTGAAAATGGTCTTTCAGGTCCCTGGAAGCTGGGGGGGGCGTGGCACGTGGCATATCACATAGTGACTGCAGATGGGGAATGGAGGGCAGAGCGAAGAAAAGAAGAGATGTATCCAGCACAAAGGCAGGATGGGAATGGGAGGCCAAGGTCTCCTGGGTAGTAAATGCAGCATTCTGCAGGGGCTCATGTACTCCTAATCCTTGAACCTGAGACCCTGGATGCTCAAATGCTGCTTGCATTTCTACAGGAGGGCAGTACCACTTTACCTCACATCTTACAGCGCCTGCCCTGTAGGTGGGTATCAAATGACTTGGAGAAATGGGAGAGGGGAAACATCCAGGTTGGAAGCCCAAGAGCCAAACCTTTCCTGGGCTCCATCACTCTAACCATGAGGCCTTCAGGGGCCTGAGCTGCATTATGCTCACAAAAGCCTGGGATGAGGCCCTCCAGCCTCTAGAGCTTACAGAGAGATACCCAGGTTGTGGAGCGTAAAGAAGCAAGTCAGTGAGGAAAGGCTTAGGGTCCTTCACATGCAATG